TCAACTAACAAAACAAACCTCTATTTTAGTATTGCATAACGTCTAAAAGATTAATTCAGATTCAGAGTTCATTTTTTGGGTTGGAAATTGAGTAGACTCCGCAGTTGACCGATATATTCGAAGGGAAAAAGTTGTGCGATTGATATCATAAAACAATGTAAGTTTTTGAGTTTATTGTGTTTTGTAAATAATGTTTTTTATCTTTTTTTTTTAAATCATCTAAATTTTAACAAGTAGGTAACTATTTTTACGGATTGAAATTAGGGAACATGATCATATTATTATACCTGATAGTGTTTAAAGTCAACAATGTTTCCGTTTTAATTATATAGTGCAGGGTCAAGGAAATGTCAAGCAGTTCAGTTCTATTTCGCTTGTATTACGAACGACCCAAAGACCATTGTGTCAAGTTTGATGTCCTCTTGACAGCTGCGAATTCAGCAACGAAGCCATATTTGCCATAGATAGAGCCTGTACACATGGCGCATTTATGCCGTTCACTTGCGTTTTTCGCTTGCTTTCCGTGATTATCTTCGCGCATACGCACAGGTAGGAGTGTATGATCTATGGGTAGGACTGTTCACGAGTCGCTCGCTTGCGCCGGCCGCTTAGTTTGCGTTGGATTTATTTGCGTTACTCGAGTTTGATATCTGGCAAGCTTGATATTTCCACGCAAGCGACAAGGAACGTTTGCGGAGGACAGCACCACTGGCCAATCACGGAGCAGCAGCCGGTTCGAGAGTGTTGACAACCCAAACAAAGGCAAGGCGCCGCGTATGCGCGCAAGTCTCTGCAACGCAAAGCGGAAGACTCGTGAAAGCCTTTGCGCGGAAGGCAGATTTCTATGCCGTATACCCAGCCAACGCGAGCAACCGAAAAACGCAAGTGAAATTCTCGTGTATCATTAGTACGCGCAGATGACGTGCTCAAAATGAGATTCAGTCGCAGCCAGTAAACCTTTGAAAACGTCTACAAATGCGCGTAAAAAATACGCTTTATTTAAAAGCCTATGCTCTTAAATAAAGCTTTTTTCTAATTTTTTTTGAGAACTACGAAAACACATATCGCTCTGCTATTACAATAGTAAAACTGAACGTAAAATTTGATTCTCTACACGTCAAGAAAAACCTCCTTAGAACATTGTAAGAAACAATTAAAAGATATATACTTAACTCAAAATGAGACAAAACTTTTTGTAAGTCTTTATATCATATCATATATATCATATATATCAGTATATTTGGCGAGTAGAAAATTGGTTAGATGTCTGTAATAAAATTGGCCGTGTAGGTTTAAATATAAATTTAAATATAAATGTTAATAATATATCACGGAAAGTGAGAAATTCGTTTTTCATCGATTCTGAAAAAATACACTTTTTGAGTTAGTACACTATTGTATTAACAGTGCGATATATATTTAGTATTTATATTATATTTATATTATTAGTAGCAGTAGAGCTCCCTGTAATAGAGTTCGTCCAGGGAAGTTCTGCCACCTTACCTATGTGGCGGCTTTAGACGACGCCTATCATCACCGGCTGGCTGTGGCAGTCTCTTTGGACGAGAGTCGCCAAGGAGAGTGTCATACTTGCCGAAAATGTTTGACAGTTTTTAGTTACGTAAATGGCCATGTCAGCGATTGCAAATTGTTTGCCGGGTTTGATAAAAAGCTATTTGTAAAAACCACGAAACCTTAGAATAATAACGCATAGAATGATAGTTTCATATCAAACGAACTGTCACAAGTGAGGCAAAAATCAAATTCATGTAGGCTAGTTTTAGTAGTAGGTTAATTTTCGGTTTTAGTGAATATTTATATAAAAATACAAGTTGAAACGCGTTACTTCCTTGTGGAATGTGATGTTAGTATCTATTTTATGTTTGTCTGACGTATTTTTACACTCATTTACCGCACATTTCGTCATTTTTAGCTAAAATTCTTGATCTGTTCGCGGTGCAAGTTGACCTTGAGCACTGAAGGCCCGCCCGCTCGTGTAGGCCCATTGGGCGCGCTTCAATTTGCCTCACTTAGCGTGTGCGGACTAGGTTTCTATGCGTTATTATTCTAAGCACGAAACATTATATCGCCATTCACGAAGTTCACGAGGCCGTTTTATTGTTCGTTAGGGGAGCGATAAATTATTAATTAATATTAACCTATTTCTGCCGCCAAGCAGTAAGCAGGAAGCATTACTTCGTTCCGGTTTTGAAGGGTAAGGGTGCTGGTGGTGATGGGCGCAGTGGCAGTGCTATTTACATCTCTGAGCATCATTGCAACTGTTACGGATAAGCGTGTCGCTTATCACCAGCGCACGTCATGTTCTTCCCGTCCCTTGGCTTTATAAAAATAAAAATATTTCCATTTCTCATGCATGTACTTTTTGAATTACGAATCTAGTATTTCTCAGCACGATGGGTGATCCCTGACACAACTTTAAAATAAGTATGAGACAAGGGAATAAAGAGATTTTCATTTGTCCTACAGAAGCATGTTGAAAGTAGTTCTCTATTATTTCGCCTTGAAAGCCATGGGCGAGAGCACCAGGATGCTGCTGGCATACGGCGGTCAGGAGTTCGAAGATCGCCGCTTGACTGAGGAACAATGGCCCGAATTTAAACCAAGTAATTCTACCATTAAAATTTAATCGGAAATTTAAATTGTCGCATCACAGAATGTGGTTAAACCTCTAATTGATGAGCCAGTTCAAAAAAACAAGTGAACATTTACAGCCAAACATATAGCCGCGTTTTAGTTAGTGGACGGCAGAAAGATGGTCCAGAGCCCGGATTAAATCGCCCAGAATCGACGGCAATACCATTTACGACAATTATAGTTTTTTTTTATTTAAGGAAACAAACAGTCATCACCAGACAGGTAATAAATCAAAATAGATACACATACAGACCTAGAGTTCCATTAACAAAAACTAAAATACAATAATAAAAAAATAAGAAAAATTAAAAACTTAAACAATTAACGTTACTTAATTACATGTACAAGTACACTAAAAAAGAACAATAATAGGAATAAAAAAAAACAAACATTTTATACTAAATAATTTTATCACTACATTTGTTGTTAAAATAAAGCTCTTACCCTTACCATATAACCTTGTGAAGAAATCCCAAATATGTCTATATGACTTAAATTTTCATTATAAAAATCCAAAGAGCGCCTATAGAAACCATTTCTTTGGGAGTTTGTCCTACTAAGTTTACAACAGAAAGTAGCTTTAGAGCGCAAGGTGATGCGAGAGGGAAGTTTAAGGCCAATTTTTTGTAAAAGATCCGGTGAATCGTTTTTCGAATCGCGAATTTGTACAAGAAAAACGAATCAAAGTTTCTATTGTGTAAGAATGGAACTTAAATTCTTTGCATGACAGTACTCTGCACCGGTCCGATAACAAAGGTTCTTGATAAACTTTTTCTGCACTTTTTCTAAACCATCAACATGTAAACTACAGTTCCAAATTCTAAGATAAGTATCACAAACGATGAGTACAATGTTTTAAAAGTAAGAGCGTTACGGAAATGCTGGGAGACACGTAAAATAAAACCCAAAAGTTAAAAGGATTTTGAGATAACATTTTCGATATGAGAATAATCGTCCTACCTTCGTGAATCGTCCTACCAGCAAGCGGTTCGTGTGGGACCAAAAGTTTCCTACTGGCATGATGTAACAACTGGTGTTCCGCAGGGTGGAATTCTGTCACCACTTTTGTTTTCTATTTTTATTAATTTTCTTTCTTTCTGATTTAGCTACTCTTACCATTTTTAGGCTGATGACTTGCAGATTTACAAGCAGGCGCGATCTACAAAGCGTTAGTGCGTGGACAACTAATTTTGGGATATCTGTCAATCCTTTGAAATGTCAAGCAATTATCGTAGGTGGATCTAAATAGATATCCAAGGTTGACCATAGTTCGCTCCATCATGTAGTGTGTGAAAACTCGTCTGTTCCACTAAGCGTTTGTGTTAAAAACCTTGGCCTCTACATTGACTCTACACTAAGTTGGTCTTCACAGGTGTCCCGAGCTTAGTCGTAGGGTTATTTCTTCTTTACGTTTCCTCAACCGCTTTCGGAATTTACTTCCTATTCGTACTAAGATCTTACTTGTCACTACCCTGATATTCCCACTCCTTGATTATGCTGATGTCTGTTACCTTGATCTCAATGGAAATCTATTAGATAAGTTGGACCGCCTTCTCAATAATGCTACCCGTTTCATCTTCTGCTTACGGAAATTTGATCATGTTTCTTCTTTCGGTCTCAACTTAAATGGCTCCCTATTCGTCAACGTCGGCAGAAGAGATTCCTCTGCACGTTGTACTCTATTCTTTTCAATCTTCACTATCCAGAATACTTAAAATAGAAATTTCAATATCTCGGGGGCTCTCACAACCTCCCTCTTCGATCCATGAATTCACTCTCGCTCACTGTACCTCTCTTTCATTCTGGCTTCATATATGACCCCTTCACTCTCCAATCGATACGTCTCTGGAATGCTATCCCAGACTCCATCAGAAGGTCTCCCAGTATATTTATATCTCTATATATCTCTTTCAAAAAGTATGTTCATGAGCATCTTTTAAATTGTTTGTCACAATGATAACCATCATCATATTCTGTATTGTATATACATATTATGTATATGACTGTGTTAGGTTGTATGTATGAACGTATTAGGTTCGTTTGTTACACATAACTTATTATTAACCTAATATTTTGTTTAATAATTATTAATATAATTTAAATAATAATATGTAATATATAATTTATTAATATAATAATTCGCCACGTTCGTCAATTTCTCTTAAATTTTTCTTAAAGGTTCACTGGTAGAGAATGCTTTTAGCATTAAGTCCGCCTTTTGTACCATCATGTCTTGTGGTCAATAAAGTTTTAATAAATAAATTAAAATTTAATTTAATGTCAAATATAATACCAAGATCTCTAACCTGATAACGCATTTGACGATGGTGCCATTAAAACCATAATTAAATAGAAAGGGTTGCTTTTTTCTTGTAAAGGTGATATGATGTTTGGAAGGATTGAGGTGTAGTTCGTTGTTAGTACAGAATGTCGGAAATCCATCAAGATCTCTTTGCACATCAAGAAAATCAAGTTTTTCAGTAATAATTTATAACAAAATGTAAATTAATGTTATAACAAAATGTTGACTTTCTATTGAATAGATTCGCTTGATAATCGCACGAAACAAAATGATACAAAGTGTCGTATGCACTTGAATCTTCAAAAAAAAGAATCGTAATCTGCATCAGTATTAGTGAGAATCCACAGGATTACAAGGTGTTGTTGTTGATGATGATGTTGATGGACAGTTGTTGTTGATGTACAAACTGTTGTCTCGTTTTTCGTGTAAATAAATTTTTTACATCGAAATTTGTAAAAAGTATGGAATTATATCAAATTCCCTATTTACGTATTCTTCTTCTGCCCAGGATTTTAGCCAGATATGGGTTATAACCCGGGTGGGTTGATTGGGTTTTAATGTAGGTACTGCCAATTTCTGTTTGTGCATTACTAATATTTATTTGTAGTAAGAATTTTGAAATGTTTCTGCCAAATAATAGATCACACAGCATTGTTGCAATACTGTCGTAACTGAAAGATAACGGAATTGAGAAAACGATTTGAAATAAAAAAAAATACTCAATTAATCTAACTGCGAATAATGGGATTATTTTTATTTATATATAATAATTAGTTATCCATTTTTAAACGAGAATATGAATTTATTGTTTCTATTCAATAATTTTTTGAACATTCAAAAAATTCGTAGACGTTCGCAACTACAATCTTATCTTGTATTCCTATTTGATAAAAAAGCAGCTATAGGTTATCAACAGATATCGGAATAAGTAAAGTATGTTTTTAAACTTTAAGGAAGTATAGAATGAATAATACTATAAAAAAATAATTAGTACACTCCTGGATATAATTAATTAAGACGAACGCTTTTAAAAAGCTGGCTACATAACGTCTAATTTGAAAGAAGAATGACTTCAATCGTGTTCTGATTTTTTTCTTTTGTTTCTGGCACCTCGCGGTTTGCGTTTGTGTCACTGCAAAACAGAGAAACTTATTAACAAAAATCAATGGAAAGGTTAAATAATTTGGAAGAACGGATCGGGAAGTGCTGCTATAAGGTTTAATAGAAATACATAAACATAAAAAATATACGACAAAATGTAATATATAGCTATATATTTATAATTTGACACCATTTAAAATTTTATACTAAGTGAAACCATTATTTCGATTAAACGTTCTATGTGGCCAGTGCTTCATATAAACGGTGTACCATAATCCTTTTTTTTTAAATTCTTTAAATATGTTAAGAATAATATTTTTACTTGCAATTACTAAAAATTTTTATAGAGAAATGTACAAACATTTTGAGAGCACTTTTAAGCGCTTGTATTGTATACCCGTGTGAATTGACTGGTAATGGACAGTTTCTCTAAATTTGCTAGTGATGGCTAGTGTTAGATTTGATGTAAGACTTCTTTGTTTTTCCTCGTCAGATATTCACATTTTGTGAAGTACCAAAACAAAAGCGAAACGTAATTTCTCTCTTTACAGAGACGCCGTTCGGTCAAATGCCAGTGCTGGAAATAGACGGCAAAAAGTACGCCCAAAGTTTGGCAATTTCACGCTACCTCGGCCGCAAGTACGGCCTGGCCGGCGACACTATGGAGGAGGATTTGGAGATCGACCAGAACGTAGACTTCCTCTACGACATTCGAGCTAGTAAGTAACAATACAATGCGATATACAATACTGCAGGTTCAGCAATAATTAGAAGGCATGCAGATGGAGAAAGTGCAATGTCCTTATTGTTAGAAATAACGATTATGTCAATGCTGGAGTCAGTGCCGGTACTAGCTCATGTAACGTCTAGGTGCAACTAATACCCTGGCGCCTTCTAGTAGGCACTCGATTAAAATGGAATACTTAGTCTTCTTCTTTTTATCGTATCGATGGCACGCCGACCGCGTCACTAGTAGCCGCCGTTAGGGCACGCAGAGCATGATATGAGATGGGCTATCGTTTGAATCGCACCGCACAAACAATCCAGACTAGAACAATCCGAAAATCCACAATAACTGAACAAATTGTCCTTGCTCCGACCAACCTGAGACCAACCAGCCTGATGGCAATTGGTGTCCAGGAGGAAGAGTCTCAGAAAGCGGGACAAATGTAGATTGTATTCTGGCACTTCGTCTGAGTCGGCTCAATGCTCAGAAGAATCGATACATTTGACAAAACTTGTGGCTCCTCAGTCTCTGGTGTGGAATATTTAGTTAATATGTTGTTTCCATTGAAATTTTGGTGCAATTGTAAATGATGTTGGGAAGCATTAGCTCGTTTACTTCGCTTGCGTTGCGAAGGAAGCAGGCTCTTTGGGGGTGTCGCCGTCGCGAGCGGCGCTCGATGCCCTCTGAAGCTGAGTACTGACTAGTGAGCCGTGACCATAATCGTTGCATGTTATGTTATAGTTGGCGAAATATTGTTAGCACAGATTAGTCTTATCGCTTCTTCTTTTGAATACAATAAGACAAAAGAGTGAGCAGTCTCGGTAACGCACGTGCCAGCTGTATAGCGCAAACAACTAATTTAAACACTTTTCGCATTGGCGCTTAATTCTAAATTTGATACCTTTATGCGGACTTTGTTGAAATTGTCAGAAAACACTCGGCAGTCGGTATTTTATGAAGTATTTACAGATTTTAAAAAAATGGCAGGATGTGTAAAGAAATAATTAAAAACTAGCGCATCCATGACTCGTACGATGGACTAAGATCATTAAGTCCAAGTACGCGTTCGAGCTTGCCGCGTGTGTTTGATCTTTGTACGTAACAAAGATCGAACGAATCGGTTTGAACCGTTGCAGACGCTATGCCAACTAAGCCACGGAACGAACCAGATCGTGGTACCTTGAGTTTGGACTTACTTGGAAGTGCTGCATACGCATTGAGGAAACTGCGTCCTCTTGTTTCCAATGTGGTATTGAGGCAGACGTATTTTGCATATTTTCATTCGTTGATGTCTTATGGCATCACACTGTGTGTTAATTCAACTGAGTCGATTAGGGTATTTATTCTTCAAAAACGTCCACTAAGCGTGAACCAGCGGACCTTACAACTTTTTCTATGTACATTTTACACCTTTTACATCTTTGTTTTTGGTTTTTAACGACTTTTTTGTCGTAGCGCCATCTATGAGAAATCTATTTCTTCAACAGCCACATTGTTTTAACGGCGACAAAAAATATGGTGGCGATTATTACGGATGTTTTTTAACGACCTGTCCATAGCAGGTGCAGTGCCACTCAGAGCTTTAAATCACAAAGACCTGAAGGGCACTGCCACTGCGCCCGTCGCCTTGAGACATAAGTTGACAAGCTCCATTTGCCTCATCACCACCCCTTACCCTTCGAAACCGAAACGCAGTAATGTTCACTCTTCTACTTGGCGACAAAAACAGGTATAGTGCCAGTATTTCCCTGTACGAACACGTTGACAATGAGCCCTACAGCTATCGAAATGATGATGAGTGGTGGTGTATTCCAGGGGCTTTGACAGTGGAAAATGAAGAAGATGAGGAGGTTAAAAGGAAGAAGCACGAAGAGAATACCAAAATTCATTACCCGTTCTTGCTGAAGACACTCAATGATACCGTCGTCAAGAATAACGGACACCTCGCCCTTGGCAAGGTACACTCAGCAATATAAATTATCAAGTATTCAAATTGTCCTCTGTTTTTTTGTGTGACACCGTTTGGTCACGCGATTGGGTAAATCCGTAATATTGATATGATATTTGGTTTTTGTAAAACGCTCTTTTGAAAAATTTGGTATGTGAAATATGAAAGGACGTAGATAGAGGTAGATGTTTTAGCAAAGAAATTTTTTTTTTTTTTTTTTTTTTTATTGCGACTCGACAAAATGACTGCACCGCGCCTGATGGAAAGTGCGAATACAGTCCAGAGATGAGAGTAACGGATGGAAAACACAAATATCTTCACTCCGTCACTATCATTTTGCCGGTCTGGCCAAATGCACTGGATGTACACCAACTGATCCCTGAACGCGATTCGCAAAAGCGTTTCACTGTGGAGGGTTTTCCGCCGTGTGTACTGTGGTCGCTATCCAGTCGGCACAGAGCCTACCACAATGCTAAGCAGATGGACACTTGTGACGCCCTCGGTCGCCTCTTACGACCCCCACGGGCATGTATGGGGAGGCGACAATGTATTCTTAAGCCGTCGCCCCACGGCAAAACTTTTAAAATTTACACGTTGGAAATGAAACCATACAGGTTATTTATGAAACACTGACAACTATATAAATAATAAAGAATGCTTTTTTTTTCCATGACTTTTTACAAATTTGTTTAAATATAAAATTACCAAATATAAACTTTTACGTTTTAGTTGTATGGGAGAGTTGGGTATTATGGGTATTACCCCGCGGCTGATAATTTCGCGCCTGTTTATATTTCAATAACTACACGCCATGGAATTAATAAGTACTTCGTACAACTGGAAGGCTTACTGTGTATTGAAGCGTGCGCCGAGCGAGATGTCATAAATCTTGGTCCGTCTCTTTCTGACTAGTGGTAGACCTGTGGTAATAACAAACAGAGATGACGCCATATTATTTTAGTGTTGCCTAATGTAAAACAAATAAAACTTTCCAATAATATTTAAATATCGTGAAATAATATAAAGACTTTGATTTATTTGCGACCTATTGCATTCATAGTTGGTATGGTATTATTTACAAACATCTTATAATATTCATGGACAAAATGACGTATTGTTTTTATGCCAATTTTTTTTTATAGTCAACTACCGTATTGTATCAAATATATCACATGGCAATTGTGCGAAAGGGACACACCAAGAAAGAAGATGTCTCACTTGAGCTCAGATCTCTAAGGAGATATTGGTTATTTAAAAAGTATTTTATTGCTATTCACTTAACGTTCATTTTGATATGTCAAAATAATTGCAGTGAGCTTTCCAGTTGTACGAAGTACTTATTAATTCCATGCTACACGCTACTGAGGGCGCGTTCCCATTATGTCGTAACATTTTGTTTATGGTTTGACGACTGTCGCGTTCAGCCTGTTCCCATATTATAAAGACTATCTGTCGTGACTGTGTCGTGATCGTTTATGTTATCATTGAACGACTGTTGTGTGTAGCTGTTCCCACAAATCGTGACGACAATTTATCGGTTTACGGCAGCGGCCTTGTCGTTTGCACGACAGAATCGTTTGAAGTTCGTTCGTCGTCACATTTTTATCGTGACGTTTTATTTATCGTCCGACGACTGTCGTTGTAACTCTTTCCATTGTCATGACAGTCTGTCGTCATAAGGACAAAAAAGTCGTGAACGACGGTCGTGTTGTACTGTATGTGAACAACTTCATTTAAATATACAAGTCACGACACTTTAAACTGCACGACTATCTGTCATTACGACATAATAACTAGCCCCAGTATAATAACTCTCCGCATGCATATTACTTCATTCTTAGGCTGGGAACAGATTGATTGCATGCTTGCAGTTCGACTCCATGAACCATGACCGCATGAAGTTGATAACGACTTCACGATTAACCGCTTGCATCGATTGCATGAAATCGGTTTCTCAGTTTGTATAAATAAAAATACAAGGATAAAACTGAACAATGGACTGTATTTAATTATCAATCAAATTAAAAGACACCCTGTATTAAGTCTATGCCATATGGACGGTTAGGTCGACTAGGGGTAGCCGACCTTTTGGTTCTGCGAGCCTTCTTACGCATTTAACAGAAAGATGTAAAGGAATGCCAGCTTTAAGGTTGATAATTGTAATTATGTAATGTAATTAAAGATCACATAGGCTTAAAAAGTTTCTAAGAACGTCAATCATTAATGATGCAATAAGAACGTAATATCAAAATGAATTTTACGGCTTACGGGTAAGTAAGGTATTAAAGATTAATTTTAATATTTTCTTCACACTTGTCTACTTAGAACCAAATGGTTGGTTAGGGGGGTCAGGGGGTCGATTCAGAACCTTACGACAACTCAGTTGTCTACCGGTTTCTTTTCATTTTCATTCACAACGCCCGAATCTAATGTCAATAATCTGTCGTATTCGAAACCGAACCAAAATGACGTCACACCCGTATGATTACTCGAATTTCTCAACCGGCAAAGGCTACAAACTTTATTTCAGAACACAGTTATCGAATGAACATGGATGGAATGGATGTTTACAAAGCAAGAATGTAATATGGAAATCTCTTATTATTTTAAATAAAGTCTGGATTTTGTTCAATATTTTGTTCGATTTAAAGTCTTAAAAATGTACATAAAAGGACTTTCATTTTTTTTTTATCTATAACTCCGTCAACGCTGTTGGAGAACGATATCGTATCTGTATCCGAATAGAACGTTTAATTCGGAATGTTCTGAATAGCTCGGAAAACGCCCTTCGATTCGAGAAAGATATTGAACGATTTGGTTAAGATAACGAAGAGTTCTGAATCGGAGTCCGGGTATCTTTGGGTATCGACTGTACAGCCAATTTTAAGAGAGAGAATAAAAACATGTTGCCAGAATAATAAAATCTGAGTGTAAACCAATAGCAATTATTATAATTTTACTAAGTTTATAAATTAATTAAACAATGTTGATTTAAACTTACACGATTTTCACACATTGTATTTGATTTTTTAGTTCGGGACTTAATCGTGTATAAAACATATTTTAATTACTTCGACGTTTCGGACGTATCGCAACGTCGATGGTCCCGAAGGGACTGAAGAGGCAGGTGACAATTTCTTCTAGCCGTGCGAGTTTTTTCTAACTACCCGCATTTGGACTTCATTATTTATTTGTGAACTAGGGCTGTCACTAGACCGACACACAATACTCACGACGTTGCAATACAATACGTCCGAAACGTCGAGGTAATTAAAATATATTTTATACATGGTTAAGTCCCGAAATAAAAATATTTTTTTTTTCTTTTAAAATTCACAACATAATATATATTTTTTGTTCCAGCTGACTTGGGGTGACTTCGTTTTCACGGGTGTGTACGATTATTTCAAAATGATGATGAGAATGCCCGACCTCGACACGAAGTACCCAGTCTTCAAAGAGTTGAATGATAAGGTGCTGGCTCTGCCCAGGGTGAAGGAATTTGTCGCCAAGGCACCGATTTCCGATTATTAAATGGATGATTTGTTTTCATTGACTGTAATAACTTGCATGATGAAATCTGTTAGCAGGGTACCTATTTTAAATCTCAGTGTCCACACATCGGATCTCAATTGGTGAGCCTACAGCGTGGGCACGGTCAATTCTTTAATTTATACTTTATATAGAAATTAAATAATGCATGTATATACATACAGGCTGGTCCATTTACAGCGGTCCAAAATTGTTTTTAAGGTACCTAACTCAGATTTATCCGAGTTTTATTAGAGATTTATTTATACACAAAAGAAAATGTAGCGCTGTATATATAAAAAGAACTTTAATTGTTGTGTGCACATGTCATAAACAGAATGGTTTTAAAAGAAAACGTGTCAATAAAATAAAAAAATATTATAATGTATGTACAGGGTCTAAAAGTTTCATTGGGAACGAAACAATTTTTGTCTAATTATAAGACGATTGTCAATGCTATGGAATTGATTATAAAGTTAATAAAAAAAAATACAATAGTATTTGATGGTACGATTGCACTACATAAATCAAAATCAGAAACGAATGCTCGATGTATAGATGCGAAACGTAGTATTATAAAAACGTGTAATAAATAATTTGAATCGTCAAAGTTTTTCAATTTTAAAATACCTTAATAAAATATTTTTCCTTTGTGCGATGTAAATCAAACAATAACAATTACATATTTACTTGCATATAATTTGCTTGATATCCTAATACCACTTAAGTATTGTATTGCAAAATAATATTTCCAGTCTGTAACATTAGTATTAGAAAAAAATTCGGGAGCTTTTTCGCTGTACCTGGCAATCTTACACGCACACAAATGCGCATGTCCCTACAGCGCCCCTCCTAGTTGTCACGCACACAATAAATGAAAAGCGGCTTCACATCGTTTGTTGAGTATGCTCAATCTGCCTATGTTTTGTAATCTGAGTGTTTATCAAAGAAGTTAGATTCCTAACAAATTGAAATACGTATTCATTGATTTACAAATAAATGGACGACGGGTCTAATACAAAAACCACGAAAAAAATGTCCCAAGTCAACCTATTTAAAGTAGTGACATGTAACGGAATATGAAAAAGCTTTTAAATTGTAATGTCATCGCAGTACTGTCTAATTTTGCTTGCTTTGCTGTCAGTCAAACAAACGAAGACTAAAGCGTGAATGACGCTCTGTATACGATTTTAACGCCCTATAAGTTCGGACACTTTTTAGCGCGGACCCGACGTCCATATAATTGTAAGTCAATGTACGTATTGAACATATTTTAACTGAATTCCGTTGTATTAATAGATTTAGACATTAATTTTTTAATTACTATATATTTAAATGAAGCGACTTACAATAATAAACAAATCGACTATGAAGGTAAGGGCGAGATGAAGTGATTTAGATCAGTAGGGCTATCACGAACAAGAGCTACTTGCGCGAGAGCGACATAAAGCGCGAGATCTCTATGCGAGAATAGCAGTATGTCGCGCCTTATGCCGCTCTCGCTCTAGTCGCGCTCCGTCGTGCAAGCCCTACAGTTAAGAGAAAAAAAAAAATTACAAGAATAAAAAAATAATACGGTTTTCTCTAATTTTCTGGAAACCCGGCGAAATTAATATTCCATTTATGACCTAAAAGCGTAAGTAGATTATTATTCCATCGTTTTCCTCATACGATTTTTTCGAATCTTTTAGAATAAACGGGAATGTATGAAGAGAGTGGAGGAAGTGGAAGACACGAAGGAGGTATAACAGGTGACAGGCGTGATTATATATATGTATTTTATCGAAATAAATCCATTAAGCGTAGAGTTATTGAAGTTTTTAATCTTTTTATTTTTCTTGTGAAGTTGGTGTTTGATAAGATTATTCCGGTGGGTCGTCGAAATATGTCAACAAATATCTACAATAACTTTTTTATAAAAAAAACCGACTGAAGTTCGTGGACTTCATCTATTTGCCAAGTTTTATTCAAATTACCTTATTAGGTTACCGGAAACTGCGAGAAACCGGATTCATCCCTTCGTTTGTCAACCCTAGAGGTGGAAAATTTTCTTCAAATTAAATGGGACCAATACTAAGTGTCCGTCAGGGTGGCTGTACCAAACAAGACGATAAACTGTCTTTTTAGAAGATACGTTTTGCAAAGGCGTTTTATTAATTTTTTAAAATAATCTTTTATAGAAGCTTCTTAAAATAGTGAAAAAAAAGTATGTTTAGATAGAAATTAGTTAGGAAATAGTAAATTATATACTGCTAGAACCAAGAAAAACGTAAAGTGGTCCAGCCAACCTGACGTCAGAATGGCTGGCCACTTTATTTCTTTAATACTTCCTTTAGCGCAAAGGTATGTCAATAAAGTTACTAAATAGTAGAAAATGGGTAGTAAATAATGACCACAGCTTAGAATAATAACGCATAGAAACCTAGTCAGCACACGCTAAGTGAGGCAAATTGAAGCGCGCCAAAAGAGCCTACACGAGCGGGCGGGCCTTCAGTGCTCAAGGTCAACTTGCACCGCGAAATCAAGAATTTTAGCTAAAAATGACGAAATGTGCGGTAAATGGGTGTAAAAATACGTCAGACAAACATAAAATAGATACTAACATCACATTCCACAAGGAAGTAACGCGTTCAACTTGTATTTTCACATAAATATTGACTAAAACCGAAAATTAACCTACTACTAAAACTAGCCTACATGAATTTGATTTTTGCCTCACTTGTCACAGTTCGTTTGATATGAAACTATCATTCTATGCGTTATTATTCTAAGGACCACAGTTTGTTTGGTATATCTCGTTTGGTCCAGCCATTCTGACGGACACAATACTAGGGTGCCCTCTTTCCAACAAAAGAAGAATCATTACAATCGGTTTTCAAATGCCGGAGTTATCGCGTAACAAACATACAAAAAAAAACTGTCGAATTGAGAACCTCCTCCTTTTTTGAAGCCGGTCAAAAACTGTCTTACATACCCGCAGAAACTGTTCGTAGGTATGTACTTATTAAAAACTGCCGAGTAACGCTGAGCAAGATATCATATCTGCTACTTGTTTCAGTAACTCCAAAACCTTGTCATATCCGTATCAATCAGCCCACGATAACGAAAATTCGTATAACCTTCGAAGCTTGTAAATAGCAACTCATGTAGTTAGGCCAAAAATGAGCTATGATTTTGCAACAATATTTTAGCGTTATCAATTGAAATCCCTATTCCACCATTGCATAAGGTAGAAAACTCTACAAATCATGGTTGTTTTTGCCCCCTCCAATTATTGTTTGATTACATTTGGTATTAGGATAAGTATGTAGGATGTAGAATCGCCAGTTGACCGGCGAATTCGAACTGAAATAGTTGTGTAGTCGTATTATATTAAACAATGTAAGTTTTTGAATTTATTCTATTTTCGAAATTTATTGTTTTCGACTTTTTGCTCTTAAAAATAATTTATACGCATTTCAGAGAACACATCTATGAAAATTTTGTTACAAATTTATAATATCTAATGACGTATTTCAGTAAAACAAGTTTTGTGTTTTGTACTATTTTTATTTATACCGATTTCAAAAAAGGAGGAATCTCTCAATTCGATTGCATGTTTTTTATTTTTTTACGCGATAACTCCGGTTCATATAACTGCCGTTTGTGAACCAATTTTGATGATTCTTTTTTTGTTGGATAGAGAGTACCTCTGTAGTGGTCCCATTAAATTTGAAGACAATATTCCACCTCTAAGGCTGGCAAACTAGGGGATGAATTCGGTTTCGCGGACTTGCCGATAACTGGTTTCAATAAAACTTGGCAAATATATGTAATTCCACGAAGTTTTGAGGTCGGGTTTTTAGGACTCTGTACCGAGATTATTTTGACACTAATGTGTATGTAATGAATGGCTATTGAACTTGACAGACGAAGGTTTTTTGTTAATAATCATACATTATCAAACACCAACTGTACGGGAAAAATAAAAAGAGCAAAAATTTCATTATCATACATGTAATGAATTTATTTCGAAAAAATATGTGACGGAAACGATGGAAATAAATTCCCGTTAATTACACTATGTTTTAGGTCGTAAATGACAACAGCAGGAAATGTGAGAAAAAACATTTTTTTATTGTTCTGAACATAAATTAGCTCATTACTTTCAACGAAATTTGCACGTTTATTTATCTAAAAACGATAAGTGACCGACGTGCGTATTACACTAAAACTTTACAAACTTATTAGGCTAGGTCTCAGATTACAAAACAATAGGCAGATGGAGCATACGCAACAAACGATGTGAAGCCCCATTTCATTAATTGTGTGCGTGACAACTAGGAGGGGCGCTGTAGGGACATGCGCATTTGTGTGCGTGTAAGATTGCCAGATACAGCGAAAAAGCTTCCGAATTTTTTTCTGTTGCTTTCTGTAATACTAATGTTAGAAACTGGAAATGTTATTTTGCAATATAGGTTCTTAAGTGGTATTAGGACATTAAACAAATTATATGCAATATAAGTTAATATTTAATCGATATTGTTTGGTTTACATCACACAAAGGAAATAATATTTATTAAGGTATTTTACATTGGAAAACATTGATAGTTCAAAATATTTGTTACAATCACAGTTACACAATATCTTAATATTAATAACCTGTATTCTGTACACATTTTTTTTATAATACTACCGTTTCGCGTCTATACACCGAGCATTCGTTTCTAATTTTGATATGTAGTGCAATCAATTGATTACAAAGTTAATTTAATAAAACATTTAATAGACGAGTATTTGATGATGAGATTATATACTATAGAAATCCATGGCATTGATGATTATGTTCTAATTTGACAAAAAATGTTTGCTTCCCAATTAAACTCTTTAGAACCTGTGAAGATGACTTCGCAGAATCTAAAGAGTCTAATTGGGAATACATACATTGTAATCATTTTTATTCTTTTATTGACACGTTTTCTTACAAAATCACTCTGTTTAACATATGTGCACAACAATGAAAGTCCTCTGTATCTATTGGGCTAAAATTTTAGCTGTTTTTGAACATTTTCTTTTATGTTATTTATATTACATTTATATTATATTATTACAGTATGGCGATTAGATTAGTAGATAAATCTGAGTTACCTAAAAATAATTTTCGACCGCTGTAATTGGACCATTGTGTGTATAATGCACGCATTATACAACTAGGAAGGGCGCTGTAGGGACTATACAAAAGTATAAATTATTCGATGTTCGTATCACCAATGCATATTTACCAAATTTAAGGAAACTCATTTCGATATAAACTGGCAACACACGTGAATTTATGTTGAGGTTTCGTGTTCCGAGTGAATCTCAAAAAATATCGGATAAATAAATTACAAAACAGTTAAATTAACAATGGTATCCTGTGAAAAGATATTCCATCTTATTTTTTGTTTTGTTTTTGGGTACAACTTTTACAATGTTTACAGACACAAGACGCCATTTTAAACATAAAATAACTAATCACTCGTGACGTGTAAACACTGCGACGCTGTGCTTATTATCAAAGAGGATCTAATCACTATGTTTAGTATTGAAGCGAGTTTGTATTCGCTTTTGAATTTGTATTTGCTTTGGTGTCTTCACTTTCGTGTTTTCGTTGCGCTCCATCGCCTAATGTTTTGTAATTTGAGGGCTAGGTATTACAAAAAATAAATATTTTTGCGTGCTTATTGCACTACACAATACAAAAAAGTAAGATTTATTATAATTAACTAGCAACTTTTTAGCATATTGATTAAGTGACTATTAGAGGTTATTATTCAATCCATCAATAAGAATTCTAATAGGTAGTCACCGCACTTATCGACATGCAATGGCATTAAGCCGGCTTGAAAAAGCTTCTAAAAACTGTATCCTAGCATGGGGAAATCCGAAACCATAACGAAACTGTCGTAGGAACCCATTGACTTACAATTATATGGACGTCGGGTCCGCGCTAAAAAGTGTCCGCACTTGTAAGGCGCTAAAATCGTATACAGAGCGCGACACTCCGCTTTAGTTTTCATTTGTTCTACGGACAGCGCGATACTGCGATGACATAACAATTTAAATTTCGAATAGGTTGACTTGGGACATTTTTTTCGTGGTTTTTGTATTAGACCCGTCGTCCATTTATTTGTAAGTCAATGTAGGAACCATATGGTTTTATTTTCATGACAACAAACTTGGCGTGTCAATTTTTTGGTCAAGCGTGAGTTGTCCATAATTATGAATAATAATTGTCAATATTTTTTAATACTGATCGACTCCGTTTCTTGCAAGGAATCATTTCATTGTATAGGAAGAAAAAAATTGGGACAGCAGATATTGGTATGACATCATTGACTTACAATTATATGGACGTCGGGTCCGCGCTGAAAAGTGTTCGAACTTATAGGGCGTTAAAATCGTATACAGAGCGTCATTCACGCTTTAGTCTTCGTTTGTTCGACTGACAGCGAAGCAAGCAAAATTAGACAGTACTGCGATGACATTACAATTTAAATTCAACGTTTTAGCTTTTTCATATTCCTTTACATGTCACTACGTTTAAATAGGTTGACTTGGGACTTTTTTTCGTGGTTTTTGTATTAGACCCGTCGTCCATTTATTTGTAAGTCAATGTATGACATAATAAATTTTACCTTAGTAGAACAACTAGGACTTGTCAACTTATATCTCAAGGTGACGGGCGTAGTGGCAGTGACCCTCAGATTTTTGCGACTTAAAGCTCGTGACTGGCACTGCGACTGTTATGGACAGGCTTGTAGCTTACCGTCAGGTGCACGAGTTGTTCGTCCCGTCACTTGATATTATAAAAAAAAAATACTTCAATAATACAATATTCTAATATATTCAATAATACATTCAATATATATTTTAGCGTCTGTCATACAGTTTTATTAAAAACTAGTACGGGCGCTATAGATCAACCATACTTAAAATGTTCCTTAAATAATGTCATGTAATTTTTAAGATACCATGTAATTGTATTGACTCAATAAAAAAAAAAGAAGATATAATCTAATTGTGTTGAATATTTAATATTTGCTTTGTTGTTGTGTATGATTTTATTTTTATTCCTTTTTTTCCGGTCATTTTTATTTTAATTTTTTGTTATAATTTAGGTTCATCTTTTTTTTATCTTCATTTGATTACTGTGTGGCGTAGTAATAAACGAATATCACCTCCGTCAAAGGTGTTTTCACAAAAAAAGCCCTAATGGTTCCTAAGACTGTTTCCTGTATTACATATGGCTTCGGATTTCAATTTCCCCATTGTGTCCCATTTAAGAAAAAACCACTGTGTATATTGATTGGTATTTCTCAGCACGGGATCGTCAATTGAACATAAGTTTAAAAAAATATGAGGCAAGCGAATAAAGCGATTTTTATTTGTCTTACAGAAACATGCCGAAAGTAGTATTCTATTATTTCCCTTTGAAGGCGCTGGGTGAGGGCATCAGATTGCTCCTGTCATACGGTGGTCAGGAGTTCGAAGACCACCGCGTGCCCATTGATCAGTGGGTCGACTTTAAACCAAGTAAGTCTAGCGTTGAATTTTATCTACATAATTGTTTTAATTAATTGCTTTTCTTCGTCATTGTTAGGGTCGTATTCTAGAACTCTACTCAATGCTCAAGTCAGGATTGCACTGGAAACACAAGCACTGGAAATACGACCCTAATGGCAGGGACTTGAGTATGATTTCGAGTGCTTTAAACCATACTCAAATCCTGACTTGAGCATTGAGTAGAGTTCTAGAATACGACCCTTAATTTGCTTCGTTTCGTCGTCACTCCCATCAAAATTATCGGAGAGAAAAGACGTGTTCTACAATCATATAAACCTAACTGCATATAAAGCAGCAATTTCTAATACTGGCCCTTTTGGTGGAAGTGTCTACTTTATGTTCATCCATAAGCATATTCGTATGTAATTAAAGTTAGAGAGTGTTTTATAGTATTACACCATTGACTTACAAATAAATGGACGACGGGTCTAATACAAAAACTACGAAAAAAATGTCCCAAGTCAACCTATTCGAAATTTGAATTGTAATGTCATCGCAGTATCGCGCTGTCGGTAGAACAAATGAAGACTAAAGCGGAGTGTCGCGCTCTGTATACGATTTTAGCGCCTTACAAGTGCGGACACTTTTTAGCGCGGACCCGACGTCCATATAATTGTAAGTCAATGTATTACACCTGTGTTTTTATTCCATTGTTTTTTTTTAAATCTTATTTTTAATAAGGCCTGTAACACTTAGTTGTCAATATCGGCCATGTAAATCCCTGTGGATTATATTATTCTACTATATCGTGTCCCCTCGTAGTGAGAGACAAGACCTCACGTAGACTTTTAGTCCTCTTTGCCATCGGTTCATCCAACACGACATTTTTTTATAGTGACAAAGATCGATAAGTTGTTAAACAATTTCATTCATATCGCCGTGACGCAACGCAACGCGACGCGGCGCAGCGCTGCATTAAAGCGCGCAGTGCAACATTAACTGTATCCTCTACAAAATAAGGCAACATTTTATGTAACAAAAAAATGAAAACGAGCTGCAGCAAGCGGCGGCGGGCTGCAGCGAGTTGCGGCAGGCGCACTTTATAAAATGCAATATACTATAGAACATATTCCCTATTAAATAAAGTATACATTTATATAATATACATTCTTCAAACAACAAAAAACAAAAGAGTAAAACCGCGCAGCGCCGCGCTGCCCGACTCCGCCCACTTGGAAATAGCAATGCAATATAGAACTTATATTGTAATAAATAAAGTGAATATTTTTTCTCACGGGAATCTGCTTTACGAAGGGTGATCATGTTTATGCAATTTGTAGATTTTACATGCAATTAACATAATAGTCCAAATAAGACGATCTCGGTGGCTCAACGGTTTGCGCTGTCGGTACTGCATGAGAAGGTTCCGGGTTGGTTTTTCTTTTGTAAAAAAGTTGCGATTATTGTTGTGAGATTTTATTTTCTTTTTTTCATCCTCTGAGAATTTTATATACTTTTGGTGAATAATGAATAAAAGAATAATAAGTAATAATAAATGTACCTACTTACAGAAACTCCGTTCGGGCAGCTGCCGATGATGGAAATAGACGGAAAGACATACACACAGGCTGTGGCGATGTCACGTTACCTAGGTCGCAAGTACGGCGTGGCCGGCAAGGACATCGAGGAAGATTTTGAAATCGACCAAAACGTAGACTTCTTTAACGACATACGAGCCAGTGAGTAACAATACAAAATAACATACAACTACAGAAACAATTGCAAGAAATGGAAAACTCAGAAAGTACAATGCAAAGGCCTATTGTTACAAAAATACATCGTTATTTACATAGGTCTGTCTATTCCAGAACTCTACTCAATGCTCAAGTAAGGAAAAGTTAATGATTTCTAGTGCTGAAATCATACTCAAGTCAAGAAGTAGAGTTCTGGAATACGACCCTAAGTTTGCTTTTACGCTAACTAAATAAATAACATCACCTACCCGGTTGCACCTGGTTCAGAGGTACACGACCTTCTGTCACCAACCCTTTCTTTTTACATTTGATCGTTTGCCGAAGTCATTCCAAGCTGAATATTCGGATGACATTTGCTTGGCTTGCTTGTTTAACTGTTGACATCAAACCGTCAAACTATCAGTAACTGATCGAACGGTTCAATGTGAACAAATTAGCACATTCTTTTGACGTATTGTCTTTAGGTGTATTGTATATTTTATGTAAGATCGTTATATAATACTTACACCATTTGATCTAGTAAAACTATGGTTATAAACTATGATTGATGACAACGCGTAGTCCAGGCTAGATGCTGCCAGAGTCATATTTAAGTAGATGGTGCTAAACTCAAGATTTTCATTGGAATGAGCAGATATTATTACAGTGAAAGTTTTGTTGGGAGATGTCTTGTCTCCCATATGGGAGGTCATGAATTTAATTCCCATACGAGGGTCAAGGACACTGATTCTATTGATTGGGATCATGAGCAGTTTTATTTACTAAATTATATATCACCCTTGCTTTAACAGCGAACCACAATAACTATGATAAGTTAAGAGTCTTGGGCTTTGAAGTGAAATGTATATACAGTTTAATCATAATTGTATGTTATAAAGTTATGCTATTGTAGTCTAATTAAATTCAAACTTTCAAGTGACATAATTCTGCTTATTATATGACATATTTTTTATTTTACATTATTATTTGATAAATAATTGAAACCTCGGCCTACCTCTGCTCTTATTGTGTTATCCCTAATAAAGGGCTCATATGTGTAGTATTATTTTAATTTTAAGATATGTACCATATAAATGCAATAAATATATTGAGTTTAACTGTCTCCGTGGCCGAACGGTCCCGGGTCCACATTTATTTCTCACACGAGTTTGGGTGTAATATGTGGTTGTCTATGTGTGTGTCTATGGCACCCGCGATACAGGGTTTCCCTAGTGCGGGGCTATGTGTGTGTACGTTAAAAAATCTGGTAATGAATTTCAGAGGCAGCATCGGTGCAATACGAACCGAATGAGGAAATTAAAAATAAGAAGCACGAGGAGAATATGAAGAATCACTACCCGTTCTTGCTGAAGACACTTAACGATATTATTGTCAAGAATAACGGACACCTCGCGCTTGGCAAGGTATAGTCGACACACACACGCACGCAGGCAGGCACGCACGCACGCACGCACGCACGCATGCACGCACGCATGCACACGCACACGCACACGCACACACACACACACGCACACGCACACGCACACGCACACGCACACGCACACACACACACGCACACGCACACGCACACGCACACGCACACACCGAAATATATGAACTGCATTTATTTTGAAATTTTACATCGTTTTGTCGCAGGATTCCTTAGATATTTGACGGTGACATTTTCTTTCGGTTCTGAAAACTTAATTTGGTCTATATATTAAGGAACGTAAGGTAGAGTTTTTAACAAAGAATTTTACAGTTTATATAACTCTGCCCGGGGTCCTCTGTATGTCTAATTTAATTATTGCAATATTAAGATTATTGAATATTACGATGTTTTACTACCATTTACCTAACTTTGTGACATTTTTCAACTACGTGGTTATAATTTATTAATACAAATATCTGAACACTAAGAAAAATTCCTTTGATCCGTCTGGATTCGAACCACCGCTTTCAGCATACCGTGCCTGAAGCTCTGCTAACTTAACTACGGAACGCGTCAGACCTTAAGAATCTTTCTATGTGCTTGTTGCAGATCTTTTTTGGATTTTAACGTTTTTTTAGTAATCTAAGAAAGTTTTTTGTATTCACGCAGCTAGGTACCTTTACAGCTACCAGCGGCTGACTAGAGATGTAGCTTTAATAATTGTAATATTAAGTTTATTGAACGTCATTAATTGTTACAGTTGTATATTCAACGTTCAATAATAGGACTGGCCTTGTCAAACTGAGTCTTTATGCGCAGACTGAAACAAGAGAGTGTTTTCTTTTTTTTTTAATACTAAGTGACGGACGTTAAGTCGTGCACCTGATAGTAAGCTACACGCCTGTCCACAACAGTATCAGTGCCATTCGGATTTTTAAATCGCGAAGACCTGAGGGGCACTGCCAATGCGGCCGTAACCCTGAGACATAAGTTGACAAGTCCCATGTGCCTGTAATTTCACCAGCACCCTTACCCTTCAAAATCGGAACACAACAATGCTGACATTACCGCTTGACGGTAGAAATAGGTAAGGTGGCAGTGTTACCCTGGACGAACTCTTTCACAAGGACCTCTACCGCTACTAATCTTGCTGAGCATTGACTTACAATTATATGGACGTCGGGTCCGCGCTAAAAAGTGTCCGCACTTGTAAGGCGCTAAAATCGTATACAGAGCGCGACACTCCGCTTTAGTCTTCATTTGTTTTACTGACAGCGCGATACTACGATGACATTACAATTTAAATTTCGAATAGGTTGACTTGGGACATTTTTTTCGTGGTTTTTGTATTAGACCCGTCGTCCATTTATTTGTAAGTCAATGTTGCTGAGTCTATTTTTCTGTTGATAAATTTCAAGGAAAGTCACGGTAATTATCTATATTTTATTATTTTTGGACCTTTTTGATTAAAATATTCTTCTATTAATTTCAGTTGACCTGGGGTGACTTCCTGTTTGCCGGTTTTTACGATTACCTTAAAGTTATGCTGCAAATGCCTGACCTCGACACGAAGTATCCAGCCTTTAAAAAGTTGACTGACAATGTTCTGTCACTGCCCAAGGTGAAGGAGTACGTCGCCAAGGCACCAGTTTCAGATTATTAAGGAATTTATTTTATGTCCTCTCTAACGGCTTGTACAGTGCTTCTATTTTCTCAATGTCCCTTGGTAAACTTCGTGTCTCGGCCGTCGTCGGGCTTTTATTCAGTTGCCCTTTGCCTTTGGTACAGAACGGACGCTTTCAGTCGACTTAGAAGTGTATATAGATTTGCTATTACATTTTTTATTTATTATACAATGGGAGTAAAGCCGCTAAAGATACCGACTGAAATTTGAAATGATTATTCATTTTTAGTTATAAATGTAAAAGAAGCACACTTTATTTACTGCACACTTTTGTTAACTTGCTTATTAACATGGAGTAAATGTTAATAAAAATAGGGAAAAGGTTGTACAGGAAATACTTTTTTATTACCGAAGGACATTGAGACAATAGAGGTGCTATAGTGCTATGTATCTGGTTTGTCATGTAGCAGTGGGATCTATCTTAAATCTGTTTTCTTGGGATCAGACCTCGGCTGAAATCCTATAGTGTGGGCACGGTGTACAGGATTAAGAGCAGGATACTTCAGATTTCAATTCAACTCTAGTAAGACCAGGCAAAGATCAAACTTGATGAGTACTATGGAACACATTGCTTGATCTCAAATGGACGTCACAAATAAATTCGATATTTATAATAATATTGGTCTATTTTCTGTTAAAACTAATCATTAGTAACAGTTATTAAGTGCTTTGAAGCTGTCTGTTAAGTACTCAAACTAATTCCTTTCGAATTGCAAGATAAGTAGAGATTTCGAGTATTTTTACATTCTCACAAATATTATAGACATCGACAGGTTATGATGTCGATGATTATAGATTTATTTATAAAAATTGACTGTCTTCAAAAACAATTAGGTACCTACTATACAATATAATAAAGCTTTTTGTTCATAAAACCTTTTTGTCGTATATACCGGCTTCTGTTCCTTTTTTCCTGTTTGTGAACTGATCCCATTATTTATTAAGTTTTAAAAGTTGTTTTATTTTATACTTAATTTTATTGTCGCAAGTTCTAAAAGATGATGGCAAAAAATTTATCAATTAACATACACAAGCAACTTGTAATGTAACAGATCATACAATATTTCATAATGTAATTATAGGGAAGTAAAATAAAATCCGGAAGGAATACCGGTAAATAAACCTACTGAAATCAAGTGACTTCGTATTATTGATGTACAATGGATCATTAAATATGACAACCCTATGCTTCCAGTGAAGTGCAGGTGCAGTGTCAAAATAGGCGTGGAAATATGGCGAATTTTATTTTAACGACATTTATAGGTACAACTTTAGACTAAAAACTCGTACACAGAACACTAGTCCCTAGTGAGAGAGAAAATTCTCAGTAGTTCTCTGAAGAAAACTGTCCATTTATCAACAGAATAAATGGCAAAAAAGTATCGGTAGTTCTGTCAACAGAACTGTACAATAGAACTAGTGGGTATAAACAAAAGATATTAGATGATCTGTGACTTTTTGAATTGAACTAATGATGATTTTAGAATAGTGTGGTTAAAGGCGCCTGTGGTAGGTGTTTGATACGCCAATATGGTAAAAATAGGATCAGTCAATGTCAGCTCTGCCGTATCAGCACATAGTTATTTTCCACTCGTATTCACCAGCGAGACGAGATGCCAGATTTAAGCCTGCTTACCAACATATTCTTCAAAGAGTCTAAAATTCACGTCACATCTTAGTAACAACAGTTTCACAATTTTTTCTTTTCTCATTGTTAACAACGACGGCATGCGCGTTGACTTGTCCTATGGTGTCCATGAGGGGTAGATCCTTGGTTTCTGGAGTAATGGTCAGCAGGATACTAGACAGGACTGATGATAAAGCGAACAAAACGCAGGGCAAAGCTGGTGATATTGGTACCTGAAATTAATTTAAATAATTTTGTAACTATTGAGTTCTTAGGTTTCGCGATTGTTACACATAGGAAATGAAACTATTTTTCCGGATTTAAATCGCATGTATTTGTTTTTTCAATCAAACCAACGTTTCGGGCCCTTTACAGGTCCCATAGTCACGGTTGACTGAGGTGGTACAGTCATCAACCAGATATGTCTAATATTAATGCAAACCACCCACCATTTTTTCACTATAGGTACAAAAATTATTAATTAAATACCCTAATTTAAGAGGCAGTTGACAATTCCTGAGTATATTTACACCCCTCATGGGAGAATGGCATGAGTGGAGTTGCGTCAAACATGTATATTGCTCCAATAAATACAGAAAAATATAACCCATATCCTCTGCAATTCTTGTAACTCTATCGACAATATTAGTCGATACAGTTACAAGAATTGGAGAGGATGTGGGTTGTATTTTTTTGTGTCTAATGGAGCCATAAACGTTTTTGACGTAACTCAACTTATGCTATTCTTCTGTGCGGGGTTCATGTCAAAAAAAAAATTACTTGAACACTGAATACACACCAGCATAGGCGTAAGTGGTGCCAACATAGCTCCGACTCTCGATGTGATAGACCCCATGGACAGCAGCGAGCCTCTAGTGCTGGTGGGGTACAACTCCATGGTATACGTGATGATACCAGTGAAGCACGCCGAGATCACCATCTTACCGATAAGGTAGAGGGTTATTTTCGCCCACACTGGCGCTGAAATTAAGGATGGGAATTTATTAATAAAATAACAATTATAGTCCCTGTTCACGTTCACGTGACAAGAACAGGCAACCTGACCAAAAATACATTTGCCACGTGACGTTAATACACTGCTTAGTACTGCACTGACCGAATAGCAATGTGCAAGACCAGCCTGCTGAGTAGTCGCATATATTTGTTTTTTCAAACAAACCAACGTTTCGGGCCAACGGTTGACTGAATAGTCTACTTTTTAGAAATAAAGATCTCTTTGAATCCAGACATCAAGGTTGTCTCATTGACGATAACGAACGGAACTCTCCTGACTACAGCATCCTCTCACTGCGGCCCTTTAGCCGTAAGCTTATCAGTCAGTCTTGCGAGTCTGTGAGACTGGCAGTGAGAATATCCACTCCTTGCACCCCTTATCCTTCCCACCTTCCGTCTGTTGCCTTAGGTAGCATGGTAACAGGCTTTCTCTACTATCTATATACGTATATATAGTAGTGTATGGTTAGGGCTAGGCTGTTAGGTAGGAACGTAGGGTTATTTGTGATAGGTTAAAGCCTTCCCTTACCATTTCATGTATAGCCAGCTAGCTTTGATTACACATACAAGACGATACTCAACAGTAACACTCATATCACTCCCAGCAAATACTACACAAAGACAGAGATAAAGTTATCTACAGTCTCATTTCTGGTCAATATAGTCTTGCGAGGTGCTAGCAGGTATTTTAGTAAATGTAATCCCTTATCGAATAAATAAGTACATACTTCATCAAACAGAATTAGACTAGACAAAGTATATATTCAAATGTACACTTACCAACATACGGGGAGGCCACAACCGTGATTCCACAAATCAAGTACCCCACAATCAATGGTACTTTTCTTCCGATTTTATTCATAAAGTACAACGCCATCAGCTCTCCCGGAAAAGACATTACAGTGGAAAGTAGAAAATTGGTATATTTATTACCAGGTAACCAAACTGAATTAATAATTAGTCCATAATACACAAAACCACACGTAAATCTGCAAAAAGACGCCACTGCTAAGCGTTTCAAGATCTCTCTGGAAGTGAATATTTCTTGGAAGCCTTCTTTAACTTTGTAATTATCAATATTGAATTTTTCTTTAAGTTGGTCATCGTTCATTTCTTTCAATTCTTCAAAATCGATTTCTAACTTGTTCATTTTAGCTACTAATTGTATCGTATGCTTTGCCTCTTTCATCTTTCCATTCAGCATTTGCCATCTCGGGCTTTCTCTTATTATAAATATATAGGATAGGAATAGAAGAGATGGTGTATTAATAATTCGTATTAAATTTTTCCAGTAAGGGACTAGCATAGCAAATAGTGCAAAAATCATTTCGCCGAAATAAATCACGTAGGAGAATAAAACACCGGCAAGCACGCGATTATTTTTACCACCAATTTCTATTACTGTAACGAAAATAATAATTTCACAAATCCGTTGCTGCTCTTTCGGCGGTTTAGGACCACAACGAGAAATGACATCTTCGAATAACCAGTTCTACAAATGGCCACTTTTTAAAATTACCATTTTTTTAAATGCTACTTCTACAAAAGAACACATCTTGAAATGGCTACTTCTTTCATTGACTACTTTTACAATTCAATATGTTTCGTTCGGCTTCGGATTAGGAACATTACTACAAGTTTGATGATGGACCTTTAAGTATATACATTAGATATGGCTTATTATCGCCCTGCAGGGTAAAGTCGGGACGGGTCCCTCCGTCTATCGCAACTGGATTTCGCAACCATTTCACAAATTTCACAAATGAAATTCAAGATGGTCAATTTGAGAAGTGGTCCTTTTTAATTGTAGTCATTTCTCATCGTGGCCCTAAGCCGCCGAAAGTGTTGCTGCACTTTCGTTACGTTTAATTTTGTAGTTTAATTAAAAAAAACGTAGAAATGGCGACCTGTGCTGCCCTCCTTGTGTTACCTAACTCAAGAGGGCTGCTAATTGTGATACAAGAGAGCGTAGTGGGGTATTTAGTACAAATATTGGTGTACTAGATGTCGCGACGACTACCAAATAGCGATTTTTTGTAATTAAAGCATGCTATGATGGCCATTTTGACATTTGTCCGCACATCAAGCTAATATATCGCAACGTACATCAACGTTGTTGTCAATAGTGACGTGCAGTAAAATTTAAGGAATGTATAATTTGACGACATAACTAGGCATTTGTTTTTCGAAATCCGAAATTTAAAAAAATTAAATGTAATAACAATCGTCACTTATGGGATCGCTGGCTAGCAAAACTTCTACCTCCGGCAAATGATGATGATGATGATGATGATGATGATGATGATGATGATGATGATGA